AAGCTTTCCAAAGATCTGTGATGCTGGGTCATGCATTACAAGCATCATGGGTCATGCCAGACAAGCATGACAAGCCTTCCATTCTTCCAGACCCAGACATTTTTACATTTGATACTGCAGCCAGAGAATCGACTCCGGTTTCTGCACTACACTAGGCTGGAGGAAAAGATCAGGCAAGGAAACGAGGACTTCACGCAACACGGGATGCACCTGTTCACGATCGAGACTTCGTATTGCGGAGAAAAATCCCTCCTCCCCACATTGAGAACGCATCCTTCTGAAGATTTGTGATGCAGATTTGTGACCACAAATCCCGTCTGTCTTGCAAGAGCGCAAATCTAGAGAGTCCGCCGCTCTCTACAGGCGATTTGTAATGCTGCCAGGCCTACAGGGCAGACGTCCGCCATGCTAAGGGCCCACACCAGAAGACCCCTGCCCAGCCTTAGCATCTGCGCGCCGTGCTCTACTGCAAGACAGATCCGGTTTGTGTACACAAATCCCGCATCACAGATTTTCGTTTCGATATGGGGAGGGGGGATTTTGCCTTTTGATAATTCGGGCATCGTGACCAGCGAGACAGGCCGGGAAGGTCCTCTGGTAGGAAGTACTACAACTTCTGGTACAAAACTGGGTTTTCTGCACCAGCAGCCACTTTCCCCAGACGAAGATTCACGGTTAATTCGGCTTCACTTTCGGGAAAGCCGGAGTGCGCGGTCCGGCGACACCACCGGGTTCGTGACCAGTTCTTGGCGGAGTACTGCCAGCACCCCCGGCGCTACAGCTGCGACACAAGAAGAGGAAGACCTCGACTTTGCCAACATGCATGGCAGCATGAAGATCGTGGAGAAGCGCGTGCCGCACGTATCCTGTGTAAAAACGTCCCCACCCCAGAGTTGTCATGCTAATCTGCATGCTCAAAATGTGTGTCATGCGGAGACACATGAGGAGCGTTTTTTGGTCGTGTTTTGGAGTTTGTAATGCGCTAATCAGCATGATATACTAGATCTGTGATGCTGCTGAAGTACCTCAAACAGCACTACACTGCGATTCCAAACTTGTCATGCGAAACAGCCAAAACTCGTGGACTTCTCTAGGCGATTCCCCATCTTGACCGTAGGGTGGGGACGTTTTTACATAGGATAGCACGTGGAGCTGCTTTATGAAGACCACGCCTCCCGCAATCGTGAGTTTGACAACCCGTTCCAGCAATGGGACGAGAAGAAGAGCGGGGAGAAGGAACAGCTGTACACGACACCCGGCGACTATGCAAGAAAGTCACTCTGTAAGTGTAACTCTGTAATGCAGACCATGCAACAGAGTTACACCTGTCATGCCAGACAACCATGAAGTCCTCTCTTCATGTGTGTTTTCCCTTACAAGCCACGCATGACAGGTTTATTTCTCTGTCATGTAGAGCAAATTTGTGATGCTGTCAGCCAAGGAAAGTTACACTATTGACACAGTTTTTGTGTTGGATAGCGATGACGACACGGTTAAGGTTCGGGGGGAAAAAAGGAAGGAACGGCCTTACCGGCCCGTGATTGCGATGACCGTGCCCGGAGCAGCAGTTGAGGCGGTAAATGAAAAGGAAACGGCTGAAGATGCTGACTCTAGTACTAGTACCAACAAAAAGGCTAAGCCTTATGTTGTCCCGAATCTAGTGGAAACGACGTACGAAATCCGGTACGAGCAGTTCCGAGATCGGAAATTTCGTGGGGACGATAAAAAACGGAGTAAAGTAGAGGATGAAGAAGCTTCTTCCCAGGATGTGTATCATATGAAAATTGAGGACGCAGACCAGGAGTACCTTGTAAGCCAAAACCCCGCGGACCTGGATGACACCGAGAAAGTGCTGATGGGCGGCAATGGGGTGAAGTTTGTCATTGACGACGCCGAGTGTGGCGAGTGCGTCATGCTCCGCCCGGCGCACTTCAGCGCACACTACGAGTACATGCGTTCGCCCATGTTTCACTCCCTGCTCATGCCAAAGGAGCTGCGGCTGGTCCAGAATCTGTTGGAAGAGATCCAGCTCTGTCGCGAGTACAAACTTATGAACTGCAGAAGTATCGTACTCGTATTAATGCGAGTCTACGTCTAGCATTACAGATCTGCTTATCCAGGAAAAAACACCCATCCCCATCCATTTTGCCTCTTTTTTATAGCAAAAAAATCACAAAAAAACAACAAAAAAATGAAAAAAACTGAAATCGTTTCTGCGTGATGGTTTCGAGTGCACCTACTTCACAACACTAGCTAGTGGCGTCCATGAGAAGCATCTTAACTAGAGGAATTTGACTTAGCCAGGTCTATCGCATTGGTCGGCCGACGTCGGAGTCGAGATCCCAAAAAAGGCAACTCGCTGCGAGCCGCCTTGCGGGCCTTCGTCGGGGGCGATTTGGCTCGCGAATCTTATCGCGGGGCTTTTGGGGAGGCGTTGAACCTGATGCGGGAAGAGGTTTTTGCGGGGCAGCGAAAATCAGACGAAATCAAGCGCGCAGCTGGACTGGACTCAACAAACGAGGCGCTAGCAAATTGCGTAGGTTTTTGAACTTAGCGCCAATGGTATGGCGCATTATTCTCCTCGCAACTTGTGACAATTTTGATACTTTGGAGCCTTCACGCAGCAGATGCGCATACTTTATCATCCGAGCAAACGGCGCGCCAGGACGCACGACCTAGCTCATGCGATTAGGCGCTCCTCCTATCGCGCCTCCTCCTACCGCGCCAAAACTTGTCTTGCTGCCCGGATGTCCCGAGCCTGGCTTTTTTTTGGATTTTTTTTTCCGACAAAAAAAGTCCGGCTTTTTGCAATTTCTTGTTTTTTCGTGGATGGGTGTTTTTGCCACGAGCTAACTACAAATACGGCACCACCCATCCACGATTTTTGGGGTCGAAACTTATTTCGCCCTTCTCCCGGTGCTACGTTCCAGATTTTCGCTGAAAAAATGAAGCAAAAGCGAGCACTTTTCTGAGCTGAATTCTCGGAGTCAGCCCGTGTTTAAAACACCCATCCACTTTTTTTGCTCGATGGCCCGAAAGTCATGGCTTTGTGGATGGGTGTTTTTACCGCGAGCTATCTGCTAAATCGCCGACCACCCATCCACTCACTTTGTTCTAGAAAAGCGCACCTTTTTGCTGAAAAAAAAGCAGTTCGCTCGTGTTTCAAACACCCATCCACTCATTTCCGAAACGGATTTTTTTTTTGGATTTTTTTTCTGACAAAAAAAATCCAAGGTTTTGTCGTTTAGAATGGTGGCTCAACATCTGGCCAGGCAGGAGGGCTCCGACTCGGAGCCACGTGAGCCGCGAGAGAGGCAAGACAGAGGCCTCCTGCCGCTGCTTTCCATGATTGCTCATTCATCTTGGTCATCTTCCCCCAACATACCCACACAGGCCCGTCGCTACATTCGCATGTGGCGATGCGCTGGCACGGCGAAATGGCGACTGCACTTTGGGCAAAGAAGTACAGGCCTAGAGCGCTCCGAGCTCTGAAGCGGATCCGCAATAAGCCGCACGAGCAGCGGCTAAAGGTCGCGCAGCATGAGACTCCGGAGGGTGAAGCAGATTGCCTGGCGCTGGAGGAATCGGGCGCACGTTACGAGGACACCATCCCCGACGTGCTCGCGACGACAGCCGGCGCGGGCAGGATCTCCGACTCGTCAGCCGGTGCGGGCTCCTGCGATAGATCTAGCTAGTTGAATTCTTATCAGCTGCACTTATCTAGGACGCCGCTTTAGCTAGGTGAATTTAGCGCGGATATATGCCGGCAGGCATGCGTAACAGACCTGAAAACTTTTTGAAAATTATACCTCATTTCTTGATCAAAAAAAAGGCAAAATGGATGGGGATGGGTGTTTTTTCCTGGATACTGCTTTCTTACCTGAAACTGCATGACAAATTTCATTTTTCTCCTAGGAAAAAATTGTCATGCAATTACTATCTATTATATTCATGCGAAAAAAGAGGTAGACAGAGGGTAAACAAGAGGTGGCCGAGAGGTCAAAAAGAGGTCAAAAGAGGTAAAAAAGAGGTCGAAAGAGGTGGAGAGGTTGCGGGGGACCCCATTCGAGAGGGCCGGCGAGAGGGTGCGCGAGTATAGCCCGCCGAAGCTCTCACCCTAAGGCGCCGCCTAAGTGCCTGAGAGGGCGCAGAGAGGTCAAAAAGAAGGGGCGCGAGAGGTCGACAGAGGTGGAGAGCGGTGGCGCGAATAAGGGGCGACCTCTCGCGGACCCTCTTGGCCACCTCTCGGCCACCTCTGTCGACCTCTACCCGCGAGTATAGCCGGTTTATTAGCGGGGACCCCCAAAAGAGGTCAAAAAGAGGGTCTGCGGGAGGTCTGCGAGAGGGTAAAAGCACACCCAAGCGGGCGCGAATCCGCATGGCGCTCCCTATATTTGGCATTGCAGGCCATTTGCGGACTTGTTTTGTTCGGCGCCTTTCCGCGCCACCCTCACTCTCGCGCACCCTCTCGCGCCACCCTCTCGCGCACCCTCTCGCGCCACCCTCTCGCGCAACCCTCTCGCGCCACCCTCCCGCGCCACCCTCTCGCGCTACCCTCTCGCGCTACCCTCTCGCGCCGGGCGGCTTCTGTTCGCTCGCCCCCCGGTGTTCTTTGCAGCTGCTCCCTGCGCAGAGCGCCCACAGGCGCGGGAAGCGCGCAAGTGGTCCTGCGAGTTGGCGCGGCGCGAGCTCCAGTATGTTTCGTTGTGCAGGACAGACTCCAGTATGTTTCGTTGTGCACAGGCCCGTGGCGTTGTGGTCCGATCGGCAAACTGTCTTGCCCCGGCCCAACAGCCTTGCGCTCCGGCGGCAGCCGGAGCATGGCTGGTTCATACTAGTACGATACTTTTGCATTGCATAAACCTCCTAAAAGAGCAAAAATTCCTCTCCCCGAGCGAACACGAAACTTTTTTTGTCGAAGAGAAAAGTGGTTCTTCTACAAGAACGCCTTTCGGAGAAGATGAAGAAGAAGAAGAAGAAGACGAGCAGCCGTCTGAGCAGGACCACCTAAATGAGGTGGTCAGCAGGAACAGCAAGAACGGGGCAGCTCCTGGACCAAGAAGTAGCGCAGGAAGTACATCAGCCGACATGAAGATTTCTATTGCAGAAGAGGAACAACTTCTGCAGCAAGATCAGCAGGCTGTTGAGGAGGTGAGAAAGGTGTACACGTATTGCGGAAAAAAGATCGACACGCAAATGACGACCGTGAGAGCGGAGCAAGACCTGGCGCTGATGGAAACGGGAAAAATCCCGGTCAACGCCCTGCCGAGGAATTCGGAGAGGGATTTTCTGGCTCTGAACAACAGGAACGGGGCGGAGGCGGACGGGGTAGCAGAGGAATATGAGCACGCCAATATCAAAATGAAAAATCTCCCCTCCCCATATCGAAAGGGAAATTTGTGATGCTGTATTTGCGTACACAAGTTGAGTTGTATTGCTAGAAAGCCAATAGACCACGCAGTTGCGGCCTCGCTTGCAGATAAAACTCTGTCACGCTTCCAGTTGCTTTCTGCCATGCTGAAGACGCAAGCTTTATTTCCAACGCCAGCCAGTACTACAGTCCGCATCTCTACTTCCCCTCTAGCATGACAAGGTGACTTGTGACTACAAAACACGCTACAGAAATTTCCGCTTTTGTATGAGAAGGTGAAGGGGGGGTTTTTCACTTGGATAGCTAACGACCCCCAACGCAGCTTCGGTGCGGCGCCCTTGGGATACCGAGTGAATTACTTGGACAGTTTAACAACAAGTACTAAAACATCATCGGTGGAAAGAACCAGTAGCAGCATGTCAAATTCAAAAACAAAAACCCAAGATGATCTTCCCCAGGAGGAGGTTTCTCAACAGTCGAAGATGGTACAGTTGCTCCCCTCGCAGACCTATGAATTGCAAAAGTATCGTACTAAGAAGTAAAAATTGCAATACTAATACAAACTAGCTCATCACAACACATGGAAGTTGTGATGCTGATTTAGCTTGGAAAAGACACTTGTCATGCATATCTGCAAGTCGTCCGTGCGATAGTACTTTTGCAATGCATAAGACTGCACTGGACGAGTGTGTCTACTCTGCTTACTACCTAAAGCTCGCCGACGACATGCGGCGCAACACCAGGTTTCGGCGGTACCCGCTGTTCCCGGGGAAGGTAAATTTGTTGACGACCGTGAAATATCCTCTGCAAAAGTATCGTACTCGTAGTGAAAATCGCAGTCATGCATCACAAATCTTTTTCTTGAGGCAAATCCGCATTACAAATTCTATTTCTATATGCGGAGGAGATTTGTAATGCAATTTATACCACTAGTGCGATGCTTTTGCAGTTCATATGAAAGCGTACGTGGACCTCGAAGCTGCGAGCTTCCTGTTTTCAAAACACCAGTACCACGCTGATGCAGATTTACAGGAACGAGGATATAATTACAACAACAAGGAAACACTCTTGAACGACCACATGACCCACAGCAGCCTCCACGGCAACGGCACGCACGCGCACGGTATTTTCGCTTCGTATCCCTACAATGAGGAGTACGGCTTTGACGCAGCTTCTTACCAAGGGATCGTGAAGCGGGTCAGAGAGTATAGTAGGAAGAGAACATCAATAAAGAGCAGCACAAGCACTTCTTCTTCCATACAAGAATCTTTATCTCTCAGTGTCACCGACCGCCTCAGCGTCGGGATGTTTCTTTTTTTGGTAGAAAAGCGCATCGCGGAACACGAGTGGTGGGTTCTCTTACCCCCATGGGCGCGAGAAGTAGAGCGAGAGCCGGTGGATAATCAAGTCCGCGCGGCCGGGGAGCGCGACGGAGAAAGGCAAGAAGGAGAAGAAGTGCCAACGGTACTAGAAGATCAAGATGCGGGCGAGGGAAATAAAGCGGACACCGATCGGACGGCAGGACAAGAAGATGGAGTTGATACAGTCAGTGGCTCATCTAAAAGTTCGAGTACTTCTACTTCCGCTGCAAGAACTCCAAGTGGTGCTAGAAGTGACGACTCTTCTCTTCTGGACCTGAGAAGAGCAAGAGAAGCAATATCGGAGAACTCGGACGCTGATAATTTAGAAGATACTCGGCCTAGTAGAAGTAGGACAACCTCCCAAGAACATGAAGTGTCGGCCTACGACAGCACCACACAGGATAAAGATAAAAATCCGTTCCAGCTGGACGCTATAACTTTAAGCCTTGCGAAGTCGTTCTGCCGCATCCGGGGCTCCATCATAGACCACGATCGGACGAACGCGCAGTCGCGCCGCGCGCTGTGGCACAGGTACAACTTAGGGAGGCACACAATAGAACTCCGGTACCATCGGAATTACGATAGCAATCGGAAAATTGCCGCCCGAATTCCGATAGCAAGCGCAAAACGCACATATTGAAACGGCGCGCGCAACTTGTTTTGGAGCGTTGCCGGCGCCTGGTAGCGCTCCTGGCGCCGTGTGGAATGCATGCAGCGATGGCGCAACTTGGTGCCCGAGGAGCGCCAGCGTGCGTCTGTCTTCCCGCAGTCAACGGCGGCGAGGAGTGTGGAAAAGGTCCGCGGTCCGATTTAGGGCCGGCCGCCTTTTGCGCTGTGTAATGTTGGCTCCCCCGGATCGCCTGATCGTTCTTTGGGGGCGCCGGCGATCAAGCTATAATAGATGAGGCGCGAACGTGGGCGCCCTGCTTTTTTTCTAGCTGCAGGGGCCGTCTTTGGCAGATACTTTCTCTGTGCGCTCTATGGGTTTGCTCCCTCTCGGAAGGGGGCCCCGCGCGACCCACATGGCATTGCCGGGCCTGGGGCGTGGTAAGTATTTTACCGCAGCCGGGACTAGTGCCGAACGCACGCGGGCCCCCCTCTGCCGGCGGGGGGCAGGAAGTGTGTGTTCTGTCCGGGGCAGCCGTCTAGCTGCCGCGCTGTGTTTTCTGTTTCTTGGCTCCCGCCGAGAAAAGGATGCGTGCCGGCGCATAAGAGAACCAATGGCATTGGGTACGCGCCCCACCTTGTCGCTTGTCGGCAGGCGCCCGGCTCCTTTGCTTCGCCTCTTTCTTCGACGCTTGCCACTGCGAGCACGCGCTGGCCGGGCGGCTTTTCTCGTCAACTTCCGCCGGCAATAGCTTATGATTGGCCAGCTGTGGCCCTGTGCCGCGGAGTTTTCTTCCATTTCCTGTTCTGTTTCTGTCGCGCGGGCGCCGTCAACGCGCAGCAGCCCGGGCCCAGCGTCCCGATTTAATCGGCGAAACAGGATGGGCCAAAGCGCCCTCCCGGCCGATTCTATCGTCGAAACAGGTCGCGCGGAGGTGTTTCGACGTCGAAACACCTTCGCCCGAGCTGTTTCGCCGCTAGAATCGGGAACTCCGGCCTGGTTGGCTCTCGTCTGCGCAGCCTTTTTTTTCGTGGCCGGCCCCCGTTCCAGAGGTTTTTCCCAGGTGGGCGATAGCTCTGCATGGGAGGTTGGGCCGCACCTTTCTTGGCCCTGCGAGCGAGACAGACGCGCACTGCCGCTGTGCGACAACGTGTGCGCCTGCCCAGTTCATATTATTTTTGAGTCATGGTTGGCGCAGAGCCCGTGGGGCTCACGGCCACCGAGACCACCACGCGTTTCTTGGTAGGCGGGGGTGAATGGAAGGCCAGCAACCTCGGGCGCGCGGGGACTGCTCGGGCCAATTTTCGTCCTTTTGCTGTTACTTGTTGCTTGGCGTGGGTCTAGCGCTAGCGACTGTGGCCTGACCCAGGCCCTCCTCCCCAAGAATCGACGCGCAGCGTGTGTGTTGGGCCGGGCCGCCGGAGCTCGGCAGTGGCGCATTGGATGCGCATTGCGCTGCGGAGGTGACCTAGCCCGGTGCAGTGCCGGCCGTCTAACTTTGTCAGTGTGCTTAGTCGTATTAGGGAGCCGTGGCCCAGCGCGAAGCCTGCAGCCAGCTGCCGCCCTGTTGTCGCACGCGCTCGGCGAGTCGGTATTGACAAGGCGCCCGGCCGCGCTATGGAGCGCGGCTGCATGCTCCGTTTGCGTTTGGTATGCGGAGATAGATATGTGTGCGCTTGTCTTGCCATGTGAATTGCTCTGGTGGCCGTCTTTTATATGTTCTCTTCCGCCCTCTTTTCCGGGGGCGTAGAGCCTTATTTGCAAATGGGGCGCCATAGTGTAAATCCCACCTGGTAACAGCGGTAGGAAAGTAGTGAGGCCGAGATCGGGCGTGAACCGCGCCGGCGCCTGCACGTGTGCAGAGCCCTTTTTGCGGCGTTTGAGGTGCCCCGTCGGGCTCTAAGCGGCACAACTCAAAGCGGTAGCGCGCTCGTTTCCGCTGGCTATCGTGAACATTTCCCGATAGCTATCGTGGTCGCGATGGTACCGGAATATATGAGTGTGCGTCCATAGTACAACCCCGGGAGGAAGAAAGACCGGGTATAGAGATGAAAAAGGTGATCTTCCCGCGTGTTCTTATCCCTAAGAAAAATCGCGCCATACCGTCGCGATTCGTGGGCTTTTTTTATTCTAGACAAGGCCTGGCGTGTCTGAGGCTAACAAAAGCGCCACCGCCCAGGGCTATCCAAAGCCTTCGCCGCGCATCATCCAGAGGGTCGCGCTTTCGTGCTTAGCGCAGCCCCAGCTCATGCGCCAGGGAACGCTCTGCACACTGACAGAATAATCGCCGGCCACTGCGTCCAAGTTCGGGCGCCCGGGCGCGAGCTGATGCCCCACCCAAAGAGCCCCCCCAAGCCGGGGCTACGCCGGCGGTCGCACCGGGCCGCGGCAGTGTGCGCGCCCACTCGTCTCTCTTTGTGTCAGGCAGCAGATGATGGCCCCTCCGGTGTTGTCTTTGGTGCCTGCGCCGTGCCGTCGGTCCTAAATTAGGACCGGTGGGGCGCTGGCTCCATAAAATGATATGTATATGGTTATGGGACCACGTCCACGAAGCAAAGATGGTGCTTCAGCTGCGCACGCTCCCGCTCGTGCATAGATAAGAGCACTACTGCAGCGACCTGCTGTGGTGTTTTGGGATGAAGCAGAGTTGTAGCTTCGGCTCCAAATGTTCCCGTTCTCGTTTTCTGTTGTTCTTATCCTCCAACTCCGCGCGCTGTGGCACAGGTACAACCCCGGGAGAAAGAAAGACCGGGGCTCTCGCGACCACAAGAGTTCCTTCCTGAAGCCGGGGTGGGCCAAGGAGAGTGGGGAGTCCCATCTCGAACGGTGCGTTCCGGCGCGGTTGGACGCTTTGTCAAAGGTCATCTCCCTGATTCTGTACGACCGATTTTCCGAGGCGGATGCGCTTCTGGAAAAGTACCACTTCTTTGCGAAAAAAGTTTTCGAGGAAATAATACTCGACAAGTCTGGTGATAGTGGTGAAAAAGAAAATGATGATGAAGCTGAAAGAACCGCAGCTGCAGGACGTCCAGCTCCAGCGCCTTCTGGACGATTGAGATACGATCCCTCCATGCTGGATTCCCTTGTGCAGAACGCAAAAAACGAGGTCCGGGCGCGTGGGGCACCATTGGACGTTAATCACAAAGAGGAGCTAGAAGGTGGAACAACAGAAAAAAAATTTTCGGAAGCTGCTGCGTCCACGTTATCCTCTGCAAGTACTATGAGTAGTTCTAGCACCACTATTTCTAGTAAAACTACATCTCGTCCCCACGACGACCCTTTTGATGTACAAGAAGCATCCCCCGCGGCGGCCCCGTCTTTGCTGGATTACCGCAAGGCCCGGGTGTTTGACCGCGGTCACATCGCGCGCGAAAATTTTCCTCCGGGGCGGGAAATACTTGTCGGCGCAGAGGACCGGATTATAATGGGTTTGGATAGAACAATTAGAAGTGTGAAGAGCAGTTCAAGTGATGCAAGAACTGGAGGAAGGTCGTCCGGAAGTAGAACGTCACCGGATAAGGGAAAAGAAAAAGCAGCAAGTTCCTCGGGGACCACGGACAATGAAGAAGTACGACCAGATGAAGGGATAGACAAAGACACGGAAATAAATCGCGAAAATCCTCCTGCAACGTCGTCGTTCCTTGATGTTGAAGATGTCGAGCTCGAAGAAGATCATCCTGGACAGGCTTCGTTCATTTCCAAATCGGATACAACCACGGATTATGATGATGATGATGATGATGACGATGATAAAAAGTCCTTCTACTCCCACCACCAGGACGTGAGTTTCTTTGCCATTGGTGTTGCCCATGCTGCGACGGCCGCCGAGCAGTACCTGCACCAGGGGAAGCCGTTCGGCGTTCCCCTGGTGCCCCCGGTGGGGTGCAGCATGGTGGAGACGGCCCCGCAAAACCTGCAATCCACCGAAGGCGTGAGCCTGAATTTGGACAACCCCAATCGCAAGGGCGGTCAGGATTTCATATCCTGTGCGAAAGTATCGTATTCGTATTGCAATCATGCATTACAAATCCTTTTGTTAATGCAAATCCGCATTACAATGCTGAAGAAATTTGTAATGCATTTAAATTTATACGAGTACGATACTTTTGTAGTTCATATTTCACGCCGCTAACCGATCTGTATTTCCACAGCGAGATTGACCTGGTGCACTGGAGGAGGCACAGCACCACTAGCAAGGACGGTCTGTATTTCCCAGCCAGGACTTTGATGCCGAACGAAAAAGAAAATGTGTATCGCGCTGTAGACTTCTTTGCAACTACCACAAGGGCGCGCGCAGCGCCGGGCCGCGAGAAGAGGAACAGGAAGAAAATTAACTACAAGAACTCCGCTGCGAGCAAAGATGAGAACAAACAAAATTATCCCGATAAAAAGAAGGAACAAAACCAAAATGATAACAACGAGCAGACACAGACTGGTCCTTCTACACGACGAGAAGAAAAGAACAAACGCGACGTCATTTATCGGCCAATTTGCGATCCTGCGCTATGAAATGCAAAAGCATCGTACTGGAACTAGTATAAATGCATTACAAATTATTTCCTCAGCATGAGATGAAATAAGATTTGTAATGCAGTTTTACCTTGAGAGCAAGATTTGTATATGCATGTTTGCGATTAATACTACGAGTGCGATACTTTTGCACTTGATATGCGCTCTTTGATGTTGATGTCGAAGACGGTATACCAGATATTAGCACTTCAACTTCCCCATTAATGGAAGTATTTCCGGACAGGTGGAAGGCGAGAATGTCGGGCACTACTACAAATGATCGGGCGGTGGACGAGAATAGTAGAACCTCCGGTCTATCAGAACCAGAAGCTGAAGCATCATCAACAACGCCGCGTCCTCCTCAAACACTTTTGTCCACAGTCGCTGACTTGGTCGCTCTCAGTGCTATAGAAAATCACAAGCCGCAGCCGCATATGAAATCGAAATGCAAAAGCATCGTAATGATATAAATCGCATGACAAATTTTCTCAGCATGATGAGAAATAAGATTTGTATATGCAGATTTGCCTTTTTAAGAGAGAGATTTGTAGTGCATGACTGCTATTACTAGCTACGAGTGCGATATTACAACTTTTGCACAGGATACCGCGCGTGCGGCTTCGGGTAGAGTCGATTTGCGCGCAGCCTGAACTTTTGGATCGAACGACTATGTCCACCACAGAGCCCAAGGCCATCCAATTCCGCGGCCCTCACCAATGGTGGCGTAAACGGTTGCAAAGGGTAAAAGAGCAGATAACTACTACTACCGCAGTAGATCAGGAGCAGAGCCAGCCAAAAGCTATTCATTTGTCCGGTGGCCACCGCGACGACGAGAAGAACAACCACGAGGACAAAAAACAAGAACATCACGTGGAGTTGGCGAAAAAGAAAAGAAAAGCCACGACGAGAAATAGTAACAAGACCTCCCGGGTGTTTGTTGAGAATAAGAAGGAAATCAAGACCCGATTGCGCGATTTGCTCCGCGATCACCTTGCTTACCAGAGCTCGCTAGACCGGAAGTGCAACGAGCTGCGCGCGTCGGACAACGGGCGGTCCAGCCTGGTGTTGTGTCCCATGTGCGTCCGGGATTTGCACCGGGACGTGCAGCGAAAGATGCTGTTTTTTGTGGAGGCCGCGCAGCCCACCACGAGGATAAGGCAGTTTCGGGGACTCACGTCGCCCGCTCCGCACGAGGTGGTCGCGGAGCTGCGGCGACACCGGAAATATGGCATTCTCAACTGTTACATTCTCAACTGCTACACGGATTTGTCATGCGAAGTTGCCATTAGCCTCCACTTGATCAAGGTGCTTAGCATGACAAATTCCCGAAGGGCTAAACAGCATGATAATCTGTACCGAATCTGTGATGCGAAAGCTGCAATATTGCCACTTTTACTGCTGCTGTTCTTGCATTACAAATCCATGCAACAGTTGAGAATGTAACGTTTGAGAACGCCATAGGAACAGCCCGGCCTTTAGGGATCAGGTGTCCTACACCAACTTCGCCCAGTCGCGGGCCTTCCTCGCCGTCCTGCAGCGGTTTTACGGCGGCAGCGATGACGACCGAAAGATCGTGGGCGACATGGTGGATGCGCAGGCGCACTATCCTGTGCAAAAACGTCCCCACCCCAGAGTTGTCATGCAGATTTGCAATGACAGGAAGACTTGTGATGCGCAGCTACATGATAGGCATTTCTAAGCGTGTATTTGGAATTTGTAATGCTGTAAACAGGATGAACAGATGGATTTGTAATGCGGTTGTGCTCGCTAAACTGCACGAGAATGCAGAGAGGAACTTGTCATGCGTGGCTCCCAAGCAAGATTCTGCATTTGTATTGCACGGCCCCCAAGGCGACTATGGGGTGGGGACGTTTTTACTCAGGATACGTGCGTGGATTTCATCAAGATGGATGGCTACTTCGAGCAGTGGCTACAGCTCCTCTCCGCGTCGCACCAGGTGCGCATTGCAAAAGCATTGTAGTCGTACTAATTGCAGTTATGCATTACAAATCTCCTTCTTAAGGCAAATCCGCATTACAAATTAAATTTGTAATGCTGACCCAATTTGTATTGCTATTGCAATTTAGACTACTACGATACTTTTGCAGTTCATATCAGGTGCGGTTGCGCAATGTGTTCGACGCGCGTGACCCCGACGAGTCCGCCACGACCCACTGTGCCATCCACAGCTAGGGGACTCTCAAATGTTACATTCTCAACTGTTACACGATTTGTAATGCAAAATTGCCATCAGTATCTACATGATCAAGCTGCTTCGCATGACAAATTCTCGAAGAGCCAAACAGGCTGAAAATTTGTGCCAAATCTGTCATGCAAGACGCGCTAGGTCTCCCCTTTCGCGTTTGCCATTCTTGCATCACAAATTCATATAACAGTTGAGAATGTCAATGTAACGTTTGAGAACGCCATAACCGCCGGCTCAGTCTCGACGAGGAGGACCTGGCCCGGCTATGAAAAGGAAAAATCCCCCCTCCCACAATTGACAAGGTACGTTTTCGAAAATCTGTGTTGCTGATTTGTGACCACAAATCGTCTCTGTGTTGCATGAAGGCAACTCCACAGGCTCCGCCGCATTCTACGCCAGGCGGTTTGTCGTGCTCATGCTCCTACAGCGTAGACGTCTGTCGTGCTAAGCGCCTAGGCCAAGACCTGTGGCCTTCTCAGGCTTGTTATGGGCCTGCAGTGCTCGCCAGCAAGACAGATCTGATTTGTGTACGCACATCCAGCGCCAGGAGCTTCGTTGTGATATGGGGAGGGGGGATTTTTCATTCTGATACCGGCGGGGCGGCAGCACCTGGCGGCTGAAAGACGAAAGCACGGAGGAATTGGACCGGCTTATCCTATGTAAAAACGTCCCCACCCGGTAGTTGTCATGCAAATCTGCATGCTTTAAATGGTTGGCACTTTTATTGGGGCGACTTGCCGTGGTAGCGCTCGGCTTTTGTATGTTGAGGTCGCCGAAAGTGCTTCCTCGCCCACCCCCCGGGGAGGGGATCCTTGACCTGTGGCGCTGGGAGCGTTTGTCCACTACATGATGATGATGATGCGGAGCCCCATGACACTCATTTTCTACCTAGTGCTGTTATGAAACTTGTGACGCTCGAATCAGCATTAGAGGCTCGATTTGTGATGCTGCTGCACTAGCTAAATTCGACCACACTGCGGGCCCAAACTTGTCATGCGCAAGAGCCAACGCTCGTTGATTTGTCTTGCAGAATATCCAACTTGACCAATAAATGGGGTGGGGATGTTTTACATATGATACAGCTCGCGGAGAATGCAGAGTACGACAGCTTGGAACTATGGTGTTCTCAAAAGTTCTCACATTCTCAACGGTTTTTACATGAATTTGTCATGCAGAATCAGGATCACGCTTGTCACGTCGATCAAGCTTCTTCGCATGACAAGTTCTCGTCAAGCTAAATAGCATTTATTATCCTTGCCAAATCTGTAATGCAAGACGCGCAAGGTCCCCACTTTCACTTTTTGCTGTTCTTGCATCACAAATCTGTGTAACAGTTAAGACAATGTAACATCTGAGAACGCCATAGGAGCGGGAGGACGAGTATGGCGTGATCTCCTACATCTCCAGCATGCGGCGGGTATCAAATGCAAATATGTCTGGGTCTGGAAGGATGGCACTTGTCAGGCTAAATCAAAATCATACAAAGATCTGTCTTGCATGATTGCCAAACGCTGTCCACTTTCGCCCAAGTTGAGAGGGGGTTTCTCATGCAGGATGGGCATGATAGAGACCCCGCAGAGCAGTGGTCTGCCATGCTAGATTCTGCATTCCAGATCCCATGGGTCATGCAAAATGTGCATGACAAACTCCTGCACTCATCCAGACTCAGACATATTTGCGATGCATAGCAGTCGAAAAGCTATGACGACGACAGTCCCAACTACGTGAAAATTGACCTGCCCGACCCGGAGCTGCGATGCTACCCGCGGCACAGCGCGAAGGGCGGCAGCCCGCCGGCCTACGCGGACTTCGGTTTTCACAACTGGTGCTGGGGCTGCCGCGCGAGCCAGCCGGACACGCTGTTTTCCATGACCTGCCTGCGCTGCCAGCGCGTGCGCCCGGCGCAGCAACTCACGCGCTCGTTCTCCAACGTGATTCGAAAGCGGCAGGTGGAGTATAGTATCGCAAGAAAAAACTGTTTCACTGTAAACTTGTAAAAATGCAGAAAATGTACCTGAGAAGTATTTGTTTTGCTACACATGCAAGACAGTGGATTTTTACATGTGTTTTCCCTTAGAATCTCGCATGGCAAATTTTCTCTGTGATTTAGAACAAACTTGTGATGCAAAACTTGCAAAATCCTTAGCTTACAGTGGAACACTTTTTTCATACGATATACAGCACCGCCCCATTAGCCGGCGACGCCTCTTCCTTGCATAGGTGGGGCTCAAATCTAGAACACGCCCGCCTCAGCAGGGACGTCGAGGTGGACCAACAGGTCCAGGACGCCGAAAAATCGGCCAAAATAGGGGGTGAACAAAGGGTCGACCGTGCTGTAGAATTGCTGGAAAAGGACTTGTTCTTTCCCTACTTTCTGCAGCGCATGCACTTGGTATGACAGTCGTGCACAACTCCCCCTCGTTGTTCTCATTTCTCATGCAAAAGCCCGAATCCAATTGCTCCCTTGTGTCACTATTGTGCTTGACAGATTCCGCAAGCCCAAATAGTACTACACTAGGTGCATGAATTTGTCATGCACAGGCTCCGCGTTTGCTGGTGTTTGTATTGCTGTTCATGCAATACAAATGAGGGGGAGGGGGAGTTGTGCCCTGTCATCCTTGGTTACGGACGGCAGCGGGAAGTTCCACGACCTGCAGGACCGGGACCTGCGGTATGGGATTCTCAAACATGACATTCTCAACCGTTACATGAATTTGTCATGCAAAATTACCGTGAGCCACCCGACGATCAAGCTTCTACCTCGCATGACAAATCCCCGAATAAGGCTAAATAGTACTTAAATCTGTGCCGACACTCTTGTCCTGCGATACTTGCAAGCTGGCCCCTTTCACTGTCGCGGTTCTTGCATCACAAAAAATCCGTGGCGTAACAGCTGAGAATTATGTAACGCTTGAGCACGCCATATGCGGGTGTACAGCTTGAGTGAGCTCCCGACGCTGTTGGACAGCGAAGACCGCCTCGAGCTGCCGCGGCACTCGCCGCTGTTTCGCGCCGCGTGGAACGCCGAAGAACCGGCTAACAGTGATCCCTTGCTGCTGCAGCTGTACTACGGGCAGAGCGTGAAGACGCCGCTGCCGCTGTCCTTGTCCAGTAAGGCCAACGCGGCCTACCGCTACAGCTCGGTGGGCGAGCGGGTGCGCATCCTGGACAACTTAGCCTGGAGCGGCACGGCCTTGTGGGACAATTTATTGGAGGAGCAGTTGTTTCCCAACGCAGACTATGAACTGCAAAAGTATCGTACTCGTATAAATGCATGACAAATTTCCTCAGCATGAGAAGGAAAATTTTTAATGCGGATTTGCTTTAAGAAAAAAATTTGTAATGCAAGACTTGCATTTATACGAATCAATACGATACTTTTGCACAGCATACAGACCGGCTCCGGGTGGTCGTCGCGCACCTCGTGCAGGACCTGGTGAAGCCGGTCATTTTATCAAAAGGAAAAATCCGCCCTCCCCATATCAAAACGAAGTTTCTGATGCTGGATTTGCCTACACAAATCCGATTTGTCTTGCTGGCGAGGACTGCAGGCCCATATCAAGCCTGAGTAGACAAATTTTGGCTTAGGCGCTTAGCATGACAGACGTCTACGCTGTAGGTGCAACAGCATGACAAACGACCGCCGGTAGAATGCGGCGGAGCCTGTGGAGTTGCCTTCATGCAACACAGAGCACAAATCAACAGCGCAAATTTTCGAAAACGCGCTTTGTCAATATCGGGAGGGAGGATTTTTCCTTTTGATACATTTTCGCGCTCCGGCTCGACAGCCCGAGCTACATGACGGACCGGGATGTGATGGAAGAGGAGTTCCGAAAACACTATCAAATGTAAAAATGTCTGGGTCTGGAAGGGTTGCAACTTGTGATGCAAACGCTGGAGCACGCAAAAACTTGTGTTGCATGAGCGCCAAAAGCTGTCCATTTCTTGGCACGCAAGTAGGACATTTCTCATGCGGGACAGGCATCATGAGGCGTGCTCAAAACCTGTGATGCTTTTGCCTGCATCAGAAGCCATTTGCGTGATCCGAAATATGCATGACAAGTCTCGCAATCTTCCAGACCCAGACATTTTTACAGTCGATAAACACGGACAGAGACCCATTTTAATCGGGCGCCTGTGGAAGCAGGAGTTCTGGGTCGGGCGGCAAACTCACCGCCAGGTGCTGGGGCGCAGCGTGATGTATGAAGTATCCTGTGCAAAAGTATCGTAATTGCAGTCATGCATTACAAATTTTTTCCCCAAGGTAAATCCGCATGACAAATTTGATTTCTCATGCTGAGGAAATTTGTAATGCATTTACTTAAATACGAGTGCTGTGCGATACTTGTGCATTGCATATGAAGCGTTTGGCACCCACGAGGACAATCCGCGGCTGTTTTTCCCCGGGTATCCTATGTAAAAACGTCCCCACGACCCACCCAGAGTTGTCATGCAAATGCGCAATGACAGGAATCGATTTGTGATGCGCAGCTCCATAAAAGGCATAGTTGGAAGTCGTGTTTTGGAATTTGTGATGCTGTAACCTGTATGAAAAAATGGCTTTCTCATGCGGCTTTCCTTGCTAAAAACCAGCACAACACTGCAGAGGCAAACTTGTCATGCGCAACTCCCAAAGCTTGGAGATTTGTGTAGCAGATTTCCCATCTTGAGGACTCTGGGGTGGGGATGTTTTTACTCGGGATGCCGGCGAGTCGGCGCCGATCTCCCTGCAAGATCTGATCCGGGAGGAATTATACGAAGCGCAGCACTATGCGCTGCAAATAGGTATCGTACTAGTATAAATCGCATGACAAATTTTCTCAGCATGAGAAATGAAATCTGTAGTGCGGATTTAACTTGGCATAAAATTTTGTAATGCATGAATGCGATTTCAGTACAAGCACGATAATGTTGCAGTGCATAAGCACGGCATGCTGGCCAGGGCGGTGCGCCCGTTCCAGGAGGTTATGGCGTTCTCAAACGTTACATTCTCAACTGTTACATGAACTTGTAATGCAAGAACAGCAACAGTGAAAGTGACAATATTGCAGCTTTCGCATCACAGATTTTCCACAGATCAGCATGCTGCTTAGCCCTTCGAAAATTTGTCATGCTAAGCACCTTGATCAAGTGAAGGCTGATGGCAATTTTGCATGACAAATCCGTGTAACAGTTGAGAATGTAACAGTTGAGAACGCCATAGAGGTGGTGCGGTTGTTGGACCTGGATATGACAGTGCACAACTCGTCCCCCTCCCCCTCATTTGTATTGCATGAACAGCAACACAAGCGCCAGCGACCCTGGAGCCTGTGCATGACAAATTTATGTTCACCCTGCTGTAGTACTGTTTTGTCTGTTGGGCTTAGGCTCCTTTCGAAATTTGTCATGCAAACAGTGCCACAGGTGGGCAGCGACTGGCTTTGGGATTTTGCATGACAAGTGAGGGGGACCACGGGGACGAGTTGTGCACTCTCATACTGGACTGGGCCAAGCAGGTCCGGTACCTGGAGGGTCAGGCCGTGTTGGAGGTCTTCAAGAACATGCCCGGAGGTGGTCGCGTTGAGGATATCGCAAAAAAAAACTGTCTCACTGTGAACTTGTGATGCAGAAAATGCAACACAGAACGACTTGTCTTGCTACACCTACAAGGTATTGGATTTTCAAGCGCGTTTTCCCTTGGGAAGCGCGTATGACAAATTTTCAGTGTCATGTGTAAACAAACTTGTGATGCGGATCTTGCAAAATCATCACAGTGAAGCAATTTTTTCGTGGGATAGACGAGGACGCAGAGGAAATAAACAAGGCAGCAGGAGAAGTAAACGAGGAGGACGACGACGAGGAGGGTGGTCGCTTGTTTGAGGAAGAGAAAGGCCGCAAGGAAGATGTTGATGAACATCAAGCGCGACGAGGAGGAGGACGAGGACCCCCAAAATTAGACGACCGAAGCTTCACAAAGCGCTACCTCTACGATCAGCACCAAGACTACAAATATTGGCATACAATTCCTGAACATGAGGAGAATCTTCTGGGCCAGCAGCTCGGGCTGACAGACGACGTATCAAACACAAAAATGTCTGGGTCTGGAAGGATGCGAACTTGTGATGCATACTTGGATCACAGAAAAATCTGTCATGCTCAGACAGCAAAGGAAGCTCCTTTTCCTGTCGCCGAAAGAAGGCGTTTGTCATGCGGATTAAGCATGGGGAAACCGCCTCAAAACCTGTGATGCTAGGCCTTGCATGGCACACCTTCCGTGTCAAGCAGACACAGCATCACAAACCTCAGCAAGCTTCCAGACCCAGGCACTTTTGCATTTGATACTACGCGATCCGAGACGAATTCCGACGGGAAGCTGCTTTAGTGGATCTGTATTTGGACCTGCTATTGTGAGGAAAAATCCCCCCTCCCCATACCAAAGCGGGATACTTCTGAAAATTTGTGATGCTGATTTGAGGCCACAAATCGTTTCTGTATTGCAAGCAGGCAAATCCAAAAACTAAAACGTGTCCGCGTTCTGCAGGTATTAATTTGTCATGCTCTGTATGGCCTATGGAGGACATGCCTGCCTTGCTAGGCGCCTACACCAAAACCCACCTCCTACTCCCGCTTTGTACTTGCCTGCACTCCTCTACTGCAAGACAAAGCCGATTTGTGTACAGAATTCCCGCGCCACAGATTTCCATTTCGATATGTGGAGGGGGGATTTTTCTTTTTGGTACCTGCGAAAAGAAAACCAGAACAAGAAGGGAGGTGATTCCAGCACCGCCACTTCCGCGCTGCAGGAGAAGAAAGCGCGGGTGGATCGAAAAATTACCCAAGCTGCGTTGGCGCTGCTGTTTGTACGCGGAATGCGGATCCACTTTGCCGTCAACTTTCTGCCGGCCATTTGTTTCCTGAACCGGTTTTTGCGGTTCTACGTACCCCGCCGCGTGTTTCCCACCTTCTCGCAGGGCAGCGTTGTGTATCCGAGTGCACAAGAACAACTACTCCCCCGGCCCCCTCATTTGTATTGCATGAGAAGCAATTATCCAAACACTAGCACCGCACGTGGACGAGCCTGCGCATGACAAGTTCATTGGCCGAAGGTAGTGTTGTTTCGCCTTCCGAAATTTGTCATGCAAACAGTGCAACAGGGTAGCAAATGGATTTTGCGGTTTTGCATGTTACAAATGAGGGGGGGAGTTCGAGATGTGCACTCTCATATTGTGGAAATGCCCGAGTTTCACTTTTCGCAAGCCGCGACGACGAAGGAACACGACCGGGAAGCCCTCGAGGCCGTGCTCCGCGATGAAAAGCGGGACGACAAGCGGGCGGCGAAACAGCCGGAGGCGCTGACCTCGTGGATAGCCGGGCTGCGCCTCCTCACCAGCGAGCACGGGAATGTCGGGACGCAATCTTGTGCGGAACTGCTGGCGCAAATCCTACCCCAGTTTAAGCGGATCCTCCTCGCCCGGTTTCACCTGCGCGCCCTGCAGCAGAACTACGGCGTTTACCTGCAAGGAAGCGTCGGCCCCGAAGTAGTGGAGCAGGGAGGACGTAGCACGGCGGGGGCCGGCGGCGCGGGGTTGATGAAGGTTAGCCTGGTCAGCACGGGGGTGGCAGCTACGCCAGGAGGAGCAGGCGAGGGAGAAGTAGGTGGGCCCTCGTCTTCAACAGGAGCAAGTAGTACAAGAACTGCGTCAGGTGGTGGAGCAACAGGAGCTGCACCAGGTTCGACGGAGAGCAGGACTTACATCCGTACTTTGTCCCGTACCGAGACCGAACAGTACCTGACGCAGCCTGTAGGTGCTCTCGGCGATACTAGCGTGCAGATGAGTAACGCGATTCTGAGTCTCTATCAAATGTAAAAATGCCTGGGTCTGGAAGAATGCAGCTCGTCATGCTAAATCTGAAGCATGCAAAAATCTGTGTTGCATGATTACCAAAAGACGTCCAGTTTTGACCAAGTCGGGAGGGAGTTTCTCATGCAAGATAGGCATGAGAGAGATCGCGCAGAATCTGTCATGCTAGGTCCTGCATTCCAGACCTCATGGGTCATGGAAAAGCTGCATGACAAATCGCGCATTCTTCCAGACCCAGACATTTTTACACTTGATAGTCTCAGCATTCATGCGATTGCGGACCCGTTGCAGGACCTGCCGGAGTATCCTCGATGCAAAAGTATCTGATACTCGTATTGCAATCATCGACATTAGCATTACAAATCTTTTTCTCAAGGTCACTCCGCATTACAAATTTCATTTCTACTCATGCTGAGGAAATTTGTAATGCATTAGTATACGAGTCCGAGTCCGAGTGCGATACTTATTTTGCAGTTCATACGGAGCAGGCCATCCAGCGCCGGGCCCACGTGGAGCGCACCTCCAGGCCCGCCAAGTCCAAGGGGTTACGGGAATTCCAGAAGTGCACCAGGAAACTGTCGTCCGAGAAGCAGGTCGGACATCGCAAGGCCACAGGAGATGATGAGAAAGGTCATGGCGCAGGAGCTGCACGGCAAGGAGCCACCAGTGGTGGTCCTTCTGCCGGCGTCGACGGAGCTGCAAATAAGTACGCTGGAGGAAAAATGCGGAGCAAAGTGAACGGGGACGACAGCACCACCAAGGACGACGACGAGGACGTCATTGTGGACTATCTTCTGGGCGACCTGCGCTGCCTGCGGGTGTTCGAGATACACGATACGGATTTTTTTCACTTTCCCTACGAAGGCACCCCCGCGACACGGGTAGAGTATCATGATGAAACAAGTGATCTTCGTGGCGACGGGGACGGCGAGCTGTCCTCTACTGCAGGAGCAGCAGCCTCTCGTCCTGCGCCGCAGGAGAAAAAAGATAAATCTGTGCACGGCGAGGATAGAAACGACGTTCAGCCTGCTCTTCTAGCAGGTCGTGATGTGAGCGAGGACGCTGACGATAAGGAGCAAGTCGTAAATAGAAATGATAACCCGGCGGCGCGACCACCCCCTCCCCCCCGGTTTCGCATTCGCGCCTCTCCTAGCGATAACGAATGCGAGCGATGCTTGCTGTTTACCGACCTGGCCTACGAAATGCGAAAGCATCGTACTAGTAGAAATCGCATTACAAATTTCCTCAGCATTTTTACAAATTGAATTTGTAATGCTGAATTGCCTCGAGAAAGAAATTTGTAATGCATAAACGCAATTACTACGAGTACGATACTTTTGCACAGGATATGGCCCAGGATCTGATGCGGGAGGAATTGCTCGCGCTCCGCCGCGTTTCAACGGCCGAATTCGTATGAGAGTACACATCAACTCCCCCTCGTCCCCCTCATTTGTCATGCAAAACCCCAAATCCAGTCGCAGCCGTGTGGCACTGTTGGCATGACAAATTTCGGAGGCCCAAACAGTACTACATCAGGTACATAAATTTGTCATGCATAGGCTCCACGTGTGCTGGTGTTTTGTTCATGCCATAGCCATACAAATGAAGAGAGGGAGGGGGAGTTGTGCACTCTGATACTTCGAGACGGCGGTCGAGAAGGCGCATGTTGACAACACGCCCGCGGAAGGCTCGCTGTTGGAGGTGCTCTTGGTCCGGTTTACCGACTACCACGACATTCAGAACGAGGTCACGCATATGCAATGCAAAAGTATCGTACTAACTAAGTAAGTAGTATGAATTGCATTACAAATTAGCCCAGCATGACAACTAAGTTACAAGTTAGATTTGTAATGCGGATTTGCGGATAAGAAAAAGATTTGTAATGCATAAACGCGAGTAGTACGAGTGCGATACTTGTTTTGCACTGCATAACGCAGCTACGGACCAGCTTGTTGGAAGAGCAGGAAACGAGCGGGGACAGCTACTATCCTGAGTAAAAACGTACCCACACCAGAGTCAGGATGGGGATTTTGCAACACAAACCTAGGAGCTTTGTGAGTCACGCATGACAAGTTGCACTCTGCAGTGTGGTGCAGGTTAGCAAGTGCAGCCGCATCACAGATTCATCTGCTCATCCTGTTCACAGCATCACAAATTCCAAAACACAATTGGAAATGGCTCTCATGGGCATGCGCATTAGTTACAAGTCTTCCTGTCTTTGCAAATCTGCATTACGCCGAGCAAAACCGCGTTCTTCTTCGTGAAACGCCCACCGCTTTTTGCGCAGTGGCTGAAAAAAAATCAAAAGAAAAAGAAAATCAAAAGAAAAAGAAAATCAAAAGAAAAAGAAAATCAAAAGAAAAAGAAAAAGAAAATCAAAAAGAAAAAAAAAATCAAAAAGAAAAAGAAAATCAATGGAATAGCCAAGCGCGCAGAGTTTTGAAAAAAAAAAAAAAAAATCTGCATTACAACTCTGGCGTGGGGACGTTTTTGCACAGGACAGCTACACCAGCATCGTCATGGAGGAGAACAACCAGTCGATCTTTTACAAAGACTATCAAATGCAAATATGTCTGGGTCACTGGATGAAACTTGTAATGCTGAGTTACTTTTTAGTTGTATTTGGAGGCCACAAATGATGGCTTAGCATGACAAGTTTCTGAGCTTATTCTAAGTGTTGCCTCTTCTCCATGAGAAATTGCGTCTCTGCATCACAGAGAATAAATAAGTAGGGCTTTTGGGTACTAACGAGCATGACAGACTTAAGAGTATTGCTGGCCTAGCATGACAAACCTTGCACTTATTTTCCAGATGACCCAGACATACTTGCAATCGATAAGGAGGGAACTTTTTTTAACGATGCCCGGAGCACCCTGGAGGGCAACTTGGTCGACCCGCTAGTGGTATCAAATGTAAAAATGTCTGGGTCTGGAAGATTGTCATGCATATTTCGGATCACGCAAATGGCGTCTGATGCAGGCAAAAGCATCACAGATTTTGAACACGCCTCATAATGCCTGTCCCGCATGAGAAACTTCCTACTTGCGTGCCAAGAATAAGAAATGGACAGCTTTTGGCGCTCATGCAACGCAAATTTTTGTGTGTTCCTCCAGAGTTTGCGTCACAAGTTCCAACCCTTCCAGACCCAGACATTCTTATATTTGATAAGTGGGCGCCGCGGGGTTTGTGAAGGAGAAGGCGTGGCAGGGCATCCAGGCGGCGATCACCACCGGCAACCGGGTCCGCCAGGAGCAACTGATGGCTCTGTACGAACACCAGGAGGACACGGAGGAAGCCCTTCGGGACAAAGTGTGGCAGACCCAGGAGTTTTTAAGGGACCAGCAGGTGTTTTGGACCGCGAAGCAGAGAGAGCTGCGCCGCATATCCAAGTCGCTGCGGGTGGAGGGCGCTGGAATATTAAACCAGCAGCAGTCCACAGCAAAAGGAAGGGAGGCGAGGGCCATTGAAAGTTTCAGTCCAGCACAGGGCCTGCAAAACGAGTTCGGATCGTATTTTCTGAACCACGAGCACGAAAACAATCCCCATTTCCACGTGGTGGAAGAGCAAGCGGACGCCTATGACGATGCGTTGTACGATGAGAACTATCAAATGCAAAAGCATCGTACTCGTATGGATTGCAGTCATGCATGACAAATCTGATTTTCTACCTGAATCTGCATAACAAATTCCATTTTTGTTCTTGAATAAATTTGTGATGCGATTTCTACTAGTACGGTACTTTTGCATTGCATAAGAACGTCGACCACGTGATGAAGTACGGCTCTGTTACTGGCAAGGTGGCTCCGCGCGCCCTTTACAAAGTGAGGGCGGACATTCTGCAGGAACACAGTGTGGTCGACCTGAGCGTGTACTTCCGAGCACGAACTTACGTGGGTTGTTACCGCGACTCCGCCGAATCACGGGCGATGGAAGCACCGCGGAGGGAAGCAGGCCGCCTTATCAAAAGGAAAAATCCCCCCTCCCCATATCGAAACGAAATTTCTGATGCTGGATTTGCGTACACAAATCAGGTCTGTCTTGCTGGAGAGGACTGCAGGCATATACCAAGCCTGGGTCGAGAGGTTTTGACGTAGGGGACTAGCATGACAGACGTCGGCCCTGTATGCCCAACAGCATCACAAACCGCCGGCATAATGCGGCGGACTCTAAGGCTTTGCCTTCTTGCAAGACAGACAGCATTTGTGACCTCAAATCTGCATCACAAATTTTCAGACGAATGCGTTTTCAATATGGGGAGGGGGGATTTTTCCTCCCAATACGCCTCCAGGGCAAACCCGTGTCCGTGTTCGAGTGCGCCATTTTGTGTGCGGATCGTCCGTATGGATTGTAAAAATGTCTGGGTCTGGAAGATTCTGATACTCGTCATGCATGTTTTGCATGAGCCATGATGTCGGTGATGCATGCCCTAGCATCACAGATTTTTTGAGGGCTTCTTGATGCCTATTCCGCATGACAAATGCCCTCATCGCGTCGCACAAATTGCGTTCTCCTTGCTGCTCATGCAATACAGATTTTTTTGGAATCCAAGTTCAGCATCACAAGTTTCATTCTTCCAGACCCAGACATTTTTGCATTTGATAGTCCGTTTTTCGCCCTGCAGGGCGGGGGACAATGCTGGTGCGCAAGTGAGCTCAATCAGAAACAGCTCCGAAGAGTTATAACCCGCTCAGGAGTTGTTACAATCTCACACGTTACAATAGAATCTGAGATTTGTCTTGCATGATGAGCATGATCCAGCCAACTCTCATAGGGTCGTTGCGCATGACAAGTTCAGGAGCTCCAAACCTCCCTACATTCTGGCAAAATTTGTATTGCAAAAGGTGGAACGCTGTGCGAGTCTGTCATGCCCATCATGCAACAGCACAAATTTCAGTTTCTATTGTAACGTTTGAGATCATTGTAACGTTTGAGCAAGTCATAAGAGTTATGTCCACGTTAGAGCAGGAGGAGGGGGAGGGGGAGCAGCGGCAGTGGGGTGGGCGGCGCGGTATCCTCTTGACAACGTCCCCACCCCAGAGCTGTCCTGCAAATCTGCATGCTGAAGATGTTTCTCATGCGGAGCCCCATGAGAAGCATTTTCCAGTCATGTTTTGGAATTTGTCATGCTCCAATCAGCATGATATAGTAGATCTGTGATACTGCTGAGCTAGCTCAAACAGCACTACAATACGAGTCCAAATTTGTCATGCAACACAGCCAAAGCTTGTGGATTTGTCTAGCCGAGTCACCATCTTGACTATGGGCGGGTGGGAACGTTTTTACATAGGATACGCACGAGGTCTTCTTTGAAGAAGGAAGTATCAAAAGGAAAAATCCCCCCTCCCCATATCAAAGCGGAAATCTGTGATGCGGGATTTGTGTACACAAATCACATTTGTCTTGCTGGCAAGCACTGCACGCAGATGGCAAGCCTAAGGGGGGGCCTTTTGGTGTACTAGGGGCCTAGTCGATGGCAGACGTCTGCCCTGTAGGCCTTGCAGCATTTTTACAAACCGCCTGCGTGATTATATCGCGGCGGACTCTCTGGATTTGCCTTCTGGCAAGACAGACAGGATTCGTGGTTACAAATCTGCATCACAAATCTGCGGAAGGACATGTTTTCAATATGGGGACGAGGGGGGATCTTTCCTTTCGATAGGAAGACGCGAGCACAACTTCTACAAGTCGAGGATCCACCCCGGGCGAGGCTGAGGCTGAGGCCGCTGAGGAGGACAAGGATACGGATGTGAAAGACGAAGAAGATGAAGAGCGAAAAAAGAAAGAAGCAGACATCAGCTCCACCCGAAGACATTTCGCCATGCAGCCTTTTGCCAGGTACGGAGAGGCGCCACAGTCGGAGTGTAGTTCGGTGTGTGCCTACGCCGGGGACTACTGGAACGCGAACAGCTATGGAAGTGTCAGGATCGAAATCGTCCGAGTTTAATTTGTGATGCATAAAATCGAGGCCAGTTAGACCTACAGTTTGTAGTTGGCGCATGACAAATTTTCCCCGTCCTGGAAGCGAGTCTGTGATGCGGTTTAGGGCAAAGCGGCTGCCTTCTGTCATGCTAGTCAGCAGTCCAACTTTTGACCCTTACCAAGACTATAACTTGCCTTCCGTGCGTCCTCTGCAATAGAGTCACTTTTTGCGTCGCATTTTCTGCATGACAAATCATTTCAACTTTGACGATTTCAATCCTGACGCTTCCATAACAGCAAAAATTCCGCAGGAGCACTGCAGGATACTGCCGCGTTCAACTGTGGGGGGAAGCTGCGCAACGCCGTCTATATCACGTGTAAAAGTGTCTGGGTCCTCTGGAAGGGCGCAACTTGTCATGCTAAATCTGAAGCATGCACAAATGATCTGTGTTGCATGATTACCAAAAATCGTCCAGTTTTGACCAAGTCGGGAGGGAATTTCTCATGCAGGATAGGCATGAGAGAGATCGCACAGAATCTGTCACGCTAGGTCCTGCATTCCAGACCTCATTGGTCATGGAAAAGCTGCACGACAAGTCGCACACTCTTCCAGGCCCAGACATTTTTGCATTTGATAGTCTACAAAGTTCCGCAGAACATGGCCGCCACGGTAGCCCTATCCTGTGCAAAAGTATCGTACTCGTATTGTAATCATGCATTACAAATTCTGTTCTTAAGGCAAATTAGCATTACAAATTTTATTTCTCACGCTGAGGAAATTTGTAATGCATTTATGCGAGTGCGATACTTTTGCAATTCATAAGCCCTCTACCTGCAGTTCGACACCGCCGAGTTTGAGGAAGGGTATGAGTATGATCACGGTCTTCACGGCGTCGAGCACGGTGAACAAGAACATCCTCAGATGGCGGGAGGCGAGCAAGAACAAAAAGTAGAAGTTGCTGGATCTTCTTTATCATCCTCGTCGCCCGGAGGTCATGAAGATGCAGCGACAACACCAACATCTTCGGTGGGCAAGACGAAAAATGAAAAAAATCGCGCAGGGAACAAAGATGAACACCGTCCAGCGCAAGAACTACCACGCCCCCGGCCGATCCGCATCCCTTCCGCCGCAAACCGGCTATGGTATCGCGAGGTAAGCAAGCTGGTGGGCCGCGAATCCAACCGCCGGATTCGGCTTCCGTACAGCCGCGCGAGTATGAAACTGTCAGGATTTAAATTCGACAAAGTTGAAAAATTTGTGATGCATAAAACCGATACCAGTTCGAACTCGAAGCCCAATTTCCAAGCGGCGCATGACAAATTTCGACGTCATCGAAATCCAGCTGAAGGCCTCCTTTGTCATGCTACTTCAGCAGCTCTATCCCAATCCCAAAGAACGCAAACCCGAAACAGGCTTACAATCGACCTGACTTGCAATCCCTGCAAGACAGTCACTTCGTGCCTTCTATTTTATGCATCACAGATTATGTCAACTATGTCGATGTCAATCCTGACACACCCATAGCGAGCCCCCAGGCCAAGGCCATCGCGTTGCAAAAGTTTCGTCAGCTCGCTGGGCGTCGGATGTTCCTGCAGTGCACCCGGTGCGACGAAGATTTTGCCACGCAGCACCCGTTTAGCAACCTACGACAAAACCTGGACCTGCAGAGCGACGCAATCTCGGTAAGGTTGGAGAAGAAGAGTGGGAAGGCTGGGGAATCAGGGCGTGCGGAACATGATGAAAAGGCTTCTAGAAGTCGGGAAAATGAAAATAAAAATGACCAGGAGCGGGGGGAGGACGAGGAGGACCTGGCTGTTCTCCAGTATAGCAGGTCCGTATTAGCAGACGAGGAGGAGATATGGAGAGAAAAAAGTTTATCACAGTCACTAATTTATTGCAGGGTTTGCATTACAAATTTTCTTGGCATCACAAATTTTCCTTGTATTGCAGAAACACTAGGGAAATCTCGAATAAAGTTTGGCTGTGATGCATGATTTTTACGCATGACAAACAGTTTTTTATTGCAAAAATGCGCATGAGTGATCGTGGCGAACTTTTTTTGTTTGATAGGAGAACAAGGCCTACAACAAGGCCTACCTTGCCGACACCGAGGTGGAGCACGAAGATATCAAATGCAAAAATGTAGTCTGGGTCTGGAAGGTTGGCGCTTGTGATGCTAACAACTTTGGGATCTGAATAAAATAAAATCTATATACTACAAGGCCGCAGCTTATGTCGCGCAGTGGGAGGGTGAACGAGTGGACAGGGAGGAAAGAAAAACGCCAGAGGGTGGGCAAGGGAAAAAATTTCTGATGCAGGGCGGGGCCAGGCATCTGCGCCGCTGGCTTCTTGCTGAAAGAACGAAGGCGGAGCGCCATGGCGCCCGTGGTTCCCGTCGTTGTGCGAGCGCGAGGACTCCGCCCGCACTGTGCGCGCGCTTGCGTGGCGGCAAGCCTTAGGCCCCAGCAACAACGCAAAGCGCGGCAGCGGGCAGGCGCCAGTGGACGGAGGAAGGAAGCAGGGGAACAGTCCGCGCCATGCGAGGCGCTGGCGCGTGACGCCCCGCCCGCGCGTCTGCGGTGTGGCTCGTTCGTGCCGCCTGCCTGTTTGCCCCGCCCCTGCGCGCCTTGGTGCCATCCCCCGCCCTTCTCCCGCGCGCAGCCTTGCAGAGCAGGGGCTCGCTGGGGCCCCTGTCGCGCGCGTGGATGGAGGACGGGCGCCGGGGTGGGGCATTCAATCATTGCCCTCCAGGCGCAGGGGCCCACCACCCTCCCCCAGCACCCCCGGACAACAACGGCGCCCCCCGCGTTTGCTCGCATGCAATCTGTCCCGCCCCCGCCTGCTTCCCTCGCGCGCACCCTCCAAGACAGAGACGGCGGACGGTGGCGCCCTCTGCCGGCCTGCTCGTGAACAGAGGGAGGGCGCCGGGGGAGGGTGGTGGGCAGCCGGCAGCTGCTCGCCCGCAAGCGTGGCGCTGGGGCGCGGCTTTCCCTGCGCGAACAGAGAGAGGGCGCCGGGGGAGGGTGGTGGGCAGCTGCTCGCCTGGTGCTTGGCCGCCGGCGGCGTTCGCAGGCACGCCGTGCGTGCCCCCCGCCGTCTGTGCGCCCTCCGCCCGTGCTTCCCGTTTTCCCCGTGCCCCCCACCCGTTTTCCCCGTGCTCCCCGCACGCTTTCCCCGTGTTTCCCGCTTTCCCCGTGCTTCCCACCCGCTTTCCCCGTGCTTCCCACCCGCTTTCCCCGTGCTTCCCGCTTTCCCCGTGCTTCCCGCTTTCCCCAAGCTGCAAAACCGGGGCGGCAGGGTTTTGGGAGATTGTTGCAAAATATTTCCGCCTGAAAATATTTTTCGGGGATCGCAAAATATTTTGGGCCGCGAAATATTTTGGGCCGCGCAATATTTTGGGTCGCGAAATATTTTGGATCGAGAAATATTTTGCGTTGCAAAATATTTGGACTTGCGAAATATTTTAAGTTGCAAAAATTGGACTTGCGAAACATTTTGAGCCGCAAAATATTTGAAGTCGCAAAATGTTTGGAGTTGCAAAATATTTCGAGTTGCAAAATATTTGGAGTTGCAAAATATTTGGAGTTGCAAAATATTTCGAGTTGCGATGGGACTTGGGCGATTTGCCGTTTGCGATGTGACTTGGGCGATTCGCCGTTGGGCGATTCGCCGTCTGTGATGGGACTTGGGCGATTCGCCGTTCGGCGATTCGCCGTTTGCCATGGGACTTGGGCGATTCGTCGTTGGGCGATTCGCCGTTTGCCATGGGACTTGGGCGATTCGCCGTTGGCCGGCCGTTGGCCGATTTCGCATGCAAATCGCGACAGCTTTGGAAAGTTGGAGAACTGGCAAAAAATTTTCGGCGTGGGCGATTTTCCTCCCCTTTGCAAAATTCGAACTGCCCCCGCTCAGCAGGAAAGCTGAAAAACCGGGGAGGCGGGTTTTTGGGAGATTTTTGCAAAATATTTTCGTCTGAAAATATTTTTCGGGGATTGCAAAATATTCGGGGTCGCAAAATATTTCGGGCCGCAAAATATTTTGGGTCGCAAAATATTTTGGGTCGCAAAATATTTTGCATTGCAAAATATTTGGACTTGCGAAATATTTTGAGTTGCAAAATATTTGGACTTGCGAAATATTTTAAGCCGCAAAATATTTGAAGTCGCAAAATGTTTGGAGTTGCAAAATCTTTGGAGTTGCAAAATATTTCGGGTTGCGATGGGACTTGGGCGATTCGCCGTTGGGCGATTCGCCATCTGCGATGGGACTTGGGCGATTCGCCGTTGGGCGATTCGCCGTTTGCACTGGGACTTGGCCGATTCGCCGTTGGCCGTTGGCCGTTGGCCGATTTCGCAAATCGCGACAGCTTTGGAAAGTTTGAAAACTGCAAAAAAAATTCCGACATGGGCGATATTCCTCCCCGTCGCAAAGTTTTAACTCGCACCGCTCAGCAATAGGAGTTATATGTATTGCATGATCAGCAAGAGGAGTCTAGTTCGTTGTAATTTGTGCCAGTACAACAACGCAGGCAGGGCATTTGTCATGCGGAAAAATAGGCATCAGGAAGCCCTCTGAAAATCTGTGATGCTAGCTCATGCATTACAGACATCCTGGGTCATGCAAAATATGCATGACAAACCCGGAAATGTTCCAGACCCAGACATTTTTGCATTTGATAGAAGAGGACAGGAATCAAATCAGGGCTGGAGGTGTGAACGAGGAGGCTGGTGGAAAAAAGATCGTGGAAGATGATAACGAGCACCCCCACGGAGAAAAAGTTCTTGCTGCAGAGAAAGTGGATGTTGAGCACGAGCACGACGAGGAGGACCAGCACCTCCAGCTCCACCCCCGGCCCTTCCTATCACTGGACGCGACTATTTATCACAGTGCACATCAAGAACTCCCCGTTCCCTCATTTGTCCTGCAAAACAGCAAATCCAGGCTGTGCCCCTTGGCACTGTTTGCATGACAAACTCCGCAGGAGGCCGAAACAGTACTACACTCCTGTGCAAATTTGTCATGGGCAGCCGGCATTCTTGCTGACGCTTGTATTGCCGTTCATGCTATACAAATGAGGGGGAGGGGGAGCTATGTGCACTCTCATACCATTGACGCAGTGCGGTTTGGATTTTTCCACTTCCAGTGGAGAAACCCCGCGGACTATCCTGGTGAAAAACGTCCCCATTTTTCCGTAGTCAAGTTGGTAAATTTGCATACACAAATCTCCAAGTTTTAGGAGTATATGCATGACAAGTTTAAGTTTTGCGTTTGCCTCGTAGCGACGTGCTCCCGTTTAACTAGTGTAGCAGCATCACAGATCAAGAATATGATGCTGCTTGGAGCATGACAAATTCCGCAACACCACTAGAATACCCCTCTCATGGGGCTCCGCATGAGAAATATTTTCAGCATGCCAATTTGCATGACAAAGACAACTCTGGGGAGGTGGGAACGTGTTTACAAATGATACGGACCCGCGCGGGGGACAGGAGTTCTCCTCGCCCGACGGTGGCGGGGCTTACACCATGCTGGAAGCCTTCCTCCATCCCGGCGCGTGGCACTTCTACCACGTATCACAGTGCACAACTCGTGGCCCCCCTCCCCCTCATTTGTAAAATGCAAAATCCCCAAATCCGGTCGGTGCCTTGCAGCACGAACTCTTTTGATGACAAATTCTGAGAGGAGCCCAAACCCAATCAGTACCAGCACAGTCGGCGCATGAACTTGTCATGCTCAGGCTCCACGAGTGGTCTTGGTGTTTGTATAGCTGTTCATCCATGCCATACAAATGAGGGGGAGGGGGGGGTTGTGCACTGTCATACCACGCACCTAACGTTTGGAACAAGGAGCGGCTCTTGCTGGAACGTCGCGAGTATCCCGTGCAAAAGTATCGTACTCGTATTGCAATCATGCATTACAAATCCTGTTCTTGAGGTAAATCAGCATTACAAATTTTATCCCTCATGCTGAAAAAATTTGTAATGCATTTATACGAGTACGATACTTTTGCAATTCATAGCGAGTTTCTGGGGGAGGCCGCGACGACAGCTGCGGCGCCCCATCGAAGGGGCCAGTACGAGCGACATGCAGACGACACTTATGCGCCCCACCTGTTTTTCCACTCCACCGGGATGAACGTGGGAGATTCGTCCGGCCAGGAATCCTCGCAGCACGGCAGCGCCACGGGCACCATGCTTATGGAGAGAAAAAAGTTTGTCGCAGTCACTAACTTGGAGGTTTTGCATTACAAATTTTTTAGCATTACAACTTTTCCTTGTATTGCAGAAACACAAAGGGAAATCCCGTATGAGGTTTGGCGGTGAAGACGCATTTTTACGCATGACAGGCATTTTTTGTATTGCAAAAATGCCCATGAGTGATCGTGACGAACTTTTTGCTTTCGATAATGCTCAGCTCGCACATGGCCGCCGGCGTCGGATCCGCCCTCGCGGCCACGGCCGATGGACTCCGGGGCCGGGACCAATTCCAGGAAGCAGGCCAGCGTAGTCTCTTACCCTCCCCAGGGAACGACCAACATCAATCGAACGGTGGAGCAGGAGGTGCCGGGCCTGGCGCGGGAGATGATAGTACTAGTGGTTCAACAAGTACTATATCAAAGGAGCAAGTGAATCACTTTCAAAAGAATCATAGGGTCGAAAAAAAAAAAATTCGGAGCGTTCCCAACTGCCGTAGCGCCTGCAGCTTTTTTCCCCGCGCCAGACACAGCTGGTCGGTAGATTGCAGTGGGCGAATGCTTGAGAAGGCTGCGACCAAAAGCCCCAGGCGTCGCATTTTGGTAAGGAGAAGGCTGCGAGATGTAGTGCGCAGAAGATGCCATAGAAGATACCCCAAGACCAGCCCCAAAGCATCATACCGTGGGGCATAATGCTACTCCGCATGGTGCTACTGACGCACTATTCTTACTTTTGCCCTACTCTACTGTTACCAAGTGGCAGAAGTGGAACAGTGGAGGTGTAATCACTTGAGATGTGCAGCCTGTTTCAGACGAAAAAAAAGCCAAACCTACTTGATATCTGCTAGGGTGATTTGACGCGAAAAAGACGTGTTTCGGGCATCAATTTGATGCCAAAAATCGCGGTTTTTTGCAGGGGTGATTCAAGCAGATACTAAGCGGGAGGAGTCAAATGAATCATAGGGCTAATTGATAGCTACAAAACGCGAGGTGATTACACCTCTTTTTTTGCTTCGAAAAAGATGAATTTTTGGCAAAAATTGAGCTGTTTTCAGAAAATCCGACACCCTCGGGACGCTACGCCCGACGGTATGGAGGTGTAATCACTTCATTTTTATGGTGTCGCTTTTCCTATCTTTAGCAATGGGCTTGTGCTTGGTATTTTGGGTTGCGAATGCTTCCCCCGAGTTGTTTGCAAGCTATTCAGGCGCGATGGCCCCAGCGTCCACTCATGGCCATTGCGTTCGTCCCCCGTAGCCACCAACCAAATAGCGCAAACCTTATCGAGAAAGGCGCGACCTTCCTGAGGAGCGTCGCTGTGTCTCAGGTTGTTTGGTTGTATATATTGGGCGCTTCCTTATGCGTGCGAGCCGGGCCATGCACTGCGATACTTGGAAAGTTTTTTTTTTCCGTATGGTGATTCATTTGTAATGTGATTCATTTACCCCTGTGATATACTAGTGGCGAGACTTCTAGTAGTACAACTGCTAGTATTCTTTCAAAGAGCCTGTTGCTCCGCGGGGATTACAGTATCACGAGCGATGCGGCGTTGGACAAGTTCGACGCCAAGTCTTCCCAGGAGGCTATGGCGTTCTCAACTGTTACATTCTCAACTATTGCATGAATTTGCCATGCAAGAATGGCAAGAGTCAAAGGGCCAAGCTTGCTGCTTTTGCATCACAGACTTGACACAGATTTAGCTGCTGTTTAGCCTCTCGGAGATTTGTCATGCGAAGCAGCTTGATCATCTTGCGGCTTCAGGTTGTCTTGCATGACAAATTCATGTAACAGTTGAGAATGTAACTACGTTTGATTACTCCATAGAGGCCTTCGCGCTGTTTGGCATCCGGTGCGGGGAGCGACCGTTGATCGAGTTCTACCAGAACCGGCTTGTCTGCCTGAGCCAGTCCGGGCGGGGGATTTTTGACCATGCGGCAGCGATGTTCAAGCCCCGGAACTGCCGCACCTGCCGGCTCCTCTTATGCATTGCAAAAGTATCGTACTAGTAGAAATCGCATGACAAATTCCCTCAGCATGAGAAATAGAATTTGTCATGCGGGTTTGTCATAACAAAGGAATTTGCAATTATGCGCGGCCGCTGCGATTACTACGAGTGCGATACAACTCTTGCAGTGCACAGCCCTACGATCTGAACGATTTACAGACGCAAGTGGCCGAGAAAGACCAAGCCGACGCCGTTATCAAATGTAAAAATGTCTGGGTCTGGAAGATTCCGGGATTTGTGATGCATATTTTGTATGATCCATGATTCATGTAATGCATGCTCTAGCATCACAGACTTTTAGAGGGCTTCCTGATGCCTACTCCGCATGAGAAATGCCCTCTCCGCGTACCACAAACTGGACCCCTGTTGCTGGTCACGCAATACAGATTTTTTTAGAGTCCAGAGTTAGCATCACAAGTTCGAAACTTCCAGACCCAGACATTTTTGCATTTGATAGCCGTCCGACAGGAGCGCATTCGGCTGCCCGGCGCGGAAAGCATCTATCGAGTGAACAAGCCGGATGCTCTCGTATCAAATGCAAATATCGATCTGGGTCTGGAAGGATATAACGTGTGAGTGTGACGCTAATTTTGGAATCTACATAAAATCTGTATTGCATGAACAGCTAAGAAGGTGCAATTTGAGCTACGCAGAGAGGGCATTTCTCATGCGGTATGAGCATCAGAAAGCCCTCGCAAAATCTCTGATGCCAGGGCATGCATCACAGATCTCATGGGTCATGCAAAATCTGCATGACAAACTCCTGCTGATTTCTACTCAGATAACAACAAAACTCACGTCGCAGCCGTCCCAGGAGTTTCGGTTGTTGTCTCTCGGTAGAAATCGCGCCGTTCAATTTTCTGCTTTAGAGTTTACCGGGTTACCCTAGCTGCGCGCTACTCTTTCAGTTCGTGCGGGCTCCAGGTGCTGCGATCACCAGCAGGAGCTTAACAACAGCGAACATAAGAACGTCGGATTTTCGATTGCTCTACATTACAAGACCGGCACTTGTGTCGGCCCGCCGAAGCTTCGCGTGCGGGTTCAGCAGTCTTTCTTCCTTCGCAAAAGGTGAGTCTCCTGACCCTTCTGGTCGTCACCATTCCGCCCGCATTCGTGCTCGCACGGCTGCCTACGACGACGACGACGGTTTAAAGTTTGTAGTTTTGGTTTACAAAAGGGACGCCCTACCCTTAGTTTCCCAACATGACAAACTCCTGCTGCATTCTTCCAGACCCAGACATGTTTGCAATCCATATCTCGGGTACGTGTATTACCTGAACCCCGCGCAGTCGCTCCCGGAACTGGAGGCCTACTATGACTTGCTCAAATCGGTTACCATCTCAAACGTTACAATAGAATCTGGAATTTGTGTTGCATGATGAGCATGACAGACTCGCACAGCGTTCCACCTTTTGTAATACAAATTTCGCCAGATAGTTGTCGTTGGGTTTGGGGCTCCGGAACTTGTCATGCGCAATCCTATGCGACTTGGCTAGATCTACTTGCACTCTTGCATCACAGATTTCCATATTCTATTGTAACGTGTGAGATTGTATTAACACCTGAGCGGGTTATACCTACTGGGGTTCCTTTCTGGATTCCCTGGCCGACGACGAGGTGGCCTTCACGAAGATGCTCTTGGAAGCGGAGCGGGAGATATCCAGGAAAAAACAGATCCAATTTGTCATGCAAAGCATGCATAAAATCCGCTATTTGTCATGCAAAACATGGATGTGGATGGGTGTTTTTTCCTGCTGATAGGAGAAGAGTTTTGAAGACACCGAGATGATGGACGAAGCGGCAGAGCTATGAACTGCAAGAGAAGAAGTATCGTATTCGTATAAATGCATTACAAATTTCCTCAGCATGAGAAATAAAATTTGTAATGCGGATTTACCTTAACAAAACGATTTGTAATGGTGCATGACTGCAATTATACGAGTGCGATACTTTTGCACAGGATAAGAGCAGCGGCTGCTGGCAGGTGGCACCTCCAGCGGTTCCGCAGATGATCTCTGGAACAAACAAGAGGCAGTAAACCGGGACGAACAGGAAGAGCGACGTGGCGCGGTGCTGCACAAAGCGTTTGAGCAGATATGGCGTTCTCAAATGTTACATTCTCAACTGTTACATGATTTGTCATGCAAAACGAACATCAACACTCACAAGGTGAAGCTACTTCGCATGACAATTTTGGAAAGGCTAAACAGCACCTAAATCTGTGCGGAATTTGTAATGCTACAGGTGCAAACTCCCTGCTTTGACTTTTGCCATTCTTGCATCACAAATCCATGTAAACAGTTGAGAATGTAACAGTTGAGAACGCCATAGCAGA